AAAATGACTGTGCTGATGTGCCCCATACAAGTTTGGGATTGCTAGTAAGAGACGATGAGTAACTGTTGATGGGGAGATGATGTATTTTGGGTCAGGGGAGGAGGGGAATGTGACCCCATGTCAAATGCATCACCTCTGATTTTAGTCATTCCAGTTGATACACCAAAGGTATCAAGAATTCGTATCAGTTCTAATTGAATTTCTGCATATCATACAACAGTTCAGAAAATCCTCTCTGTTAAGAGGCAAGCCATTAGTGTTCCCTGGGTCTTAGGAGGCAGCTGTTGTTGAGACTGAAGACTTCTTTTAGTGTATTCTTTAGCCATGGTGCTGGGGAAGCATAAATTTGGGAAAGTATATTCCAGCAAGAGGGAGGAAGCCAAAATACATTAGTGGTGATCTGAAGAGCTGTTTACAAGGCAAAAGAAAGAACTGCAACTCACGAGTTCTGCGTTGGGGTACTGAGACGCAGAAACCATGCTTGCAGGTAGTTCTGTCTTGAATTAATGTTTATAACTCCTTGACATTTAACAAAGTGGTGTTTATATACCACTTATATGCTAAAAGAAAATGTCTGTGGCAGCAAGTGATAATTCTGAACATTTCACTTCCTGATCAAGATAATGGTTAACAACTTTTTTTGTCAGTTGGTTACATAAGATCTGTAAATTCAGTGGTGGTGTTGCTGCCAACATCATTTTGGAAAGGAAAAGAATAAAAATCTCATGAGCAGTAGGGCAGACTGTAAAGGATTTTGTTTTAGCATTCTCCCATTTTAACAGTGAAAAATGTATATATTCTATAGTTAGCACTGAAAACAGAAGCTCAGTCTCCCCCCTTCCTGAAATAGTATCAAGCTGGCTTTTCACGGCCTTCTGTGAAGTGAATTCTAAGAAAAGCTTTGTAAATGCATAGACATCCTAGTAATTATCCAAATTGCTATACATGATCCCAAATGTGACTTTGTTCTTCCTAAAAATTAAGCTGATTTCATCACTGGTCAAGGAGAAATTTGACCCAATGTGATTGTTTATTTTCCTCTTGAAATGTAAATATATAGCTCCCATGTCTAAGAATGATAGCTATTCATTTAATAATAATAATTAATAATTAATTAGTATTGCCGTTAGGAAAAACAAAGAGCCATATGAGCTGCTGTGTACCACCAGTTTAAACTTCAACAGATGCTTAACAGGGGAAAACTCTGAATAGCCAGCTTCTCTTCTCTTCCCCAACCCTGTTCAGCAGGATTGCAGGGTGCTGGTAGCCTGTTCTCCCCCATAAAGGTTCCTTTCCCAGGCATTGCCCCCGATTCAGTCCACCACTCCCCATACATGCTTACTCCCACTATGCATTTTCCCTCTGTGAGACAACCACGCTACTTCATAGGGGGTTCCCACCTTTGGAACACCTTGTTCCCTCATACCATAAACAGGTGCTTTCCTTTTGTCTGACCCGTGCACCATACGTGAGAAATGTGGGTCTGATTCTGTTATGCTGCTGAAAAAAGATCAGGGAGAGAATGTCTGTAAGGCCCATTTATTGCTTTCCTCTGCTTAAAATACATTTAAGATGCCCTGAAATAGCCTAGAATAGGACAGACGGAAACCTTTTCCACTAAATATTTGCAAGGCATATTTTTGGACAAGTGTGGTGTAAATAAAGAGCAAGATGAGAAAATAGACATAATTTAGTTTGATTTTTATTTTTAGATGGAGTAGTCCTGAGTAGGTGGATCACCATCAGGAAAAGGTGTGCTTAGTAGCTCTAGTGAGAACATAACAATAGCTCTTTCATTGTGAGCAGAGAGCTCTTCAAGAAACTGATGATTTCATCCTGCTGTATAGAATTTCTACAGCTACATGTGTAATTTTGAGTAAAAGTAATGCTGTTTATCTAATTATTTTTAGGTCTTCAATTGCCCCTTTATTATTTATACTTTCATGCTCCCTAGATTGAAGAGTTCTATAACTTTTTCCTTTTGTTTCTCTGCTTGGCTGTTGTTCCATTTGACATGTGGGTAATGTGATGGATATTGTAAGGAAAGCTCTTTGTATTGCACTAATATAAAGATGCTATTCATCCATGTTGAATCTCAGTGCTGTATTTAACTAATGCACCAATTCTACAAACTACATGTTTGTAGAATAAGTTCCAAGGCTGCTTAAGGCAGATCTCTGTTGTGGCAGATGGCTAATCTTTTTCTTTGTATTGTTATGAATAGCAAATATTCATAGATAAATATAACATTGCAGGCTGATCATACATATACAAAACTGCCTAATGTGAGGCTACTCTTCCTTGACTTCAGCTCTGGTAATGTACATTAGAAATGTACATTATAATGTTCATATCACCACTAAAATACACTGTGATTTGTTCTGCAAAGTTAGTTCTAATCAAGTCACATTCACTCATGCTCATAAGCTAATTTTTAAGCATACAGCAGTCATGCCTGTTTGGGATTCTTTGACACATGATTCCAATTTATTGTGTGTCCAACTATAAATGCATATTGTTGTTGTTACTTTTTAGCAGGATTCCTTGTTCTCCACCCTACCCCAAAATGAAACCTAACTTTTTGCTTCCTCTCTTTTACAGATTCTGATATTGATGCTGCTACTGCAATGATGCTGTTAAATACTTCCATTGAACAAGGGATTTTAGACTGTAAGCATAAACAGTTTTATGCATTGTTTTTTCCTTAACTGAAAGCTAAAAAAATTATAGCTGAAAATTTCAGAAGTGAGGTATGCTCTAGCTCAGTGTTTCTCAACCTTCTTAATAGCAGTGACTGGCTTGCTGCCTTCCTACACTGTATCAGGGAGATCTCAGGGACTGGTGCCAGTCCACGGACCCGTTGTTGAGAAACTCTGTGGCTAGCTTATAAATGGTTTGGAGGCAGTAGGGTGGCCATCCTGCATATTCAGCCCCTTCTGTCAACATTCCCCAGTTTTACAGGGACCCCATTTCTGCTTTCTCCCGTTAGTCTGGTTGCCTTCTGCCACTCCGTAGTTGGAGACACTATACTTCTAGCCCGCGTCTCTACCACTACTATTCGTATTCAGGATTTGCTGAATATCAAGATCTTCTAGTATTCAGTGTTCATTAAATGATGGATCCATCACACCTTATGTAAACTAAATACTCAGTTTAAAAATCTTACCTTTGCACATCAGTCTGACAGACTGGGATGGCAGATTTTAGTTTGAGCTATTTTGCTTACTTATACATCTTTGCTTTCAATAGGTGAGAAGGCCCAACCTCCCAAGATGCCCAAGAAGAGGAGTTATGGCAGTGCATTTAATCATCACAGTTCCATAAACCTGCAAGAAAATCATTCTGCAGCCACTAATATTGATCCAAAGGAGGATCACAATTACAGTGCTAGCAGCATGGCTTCACAATGTTGTGCATCTAGGTCCAGCATGTCTTCCTTGTCCTCTGTTGATGAGGTGTATGAATTTATCTCCAAGACCAGCCATGCAGGAAGCGAGGGCAGTGAAGGTTTTCATAGTGAAGTGGATACGGACATTGACTATGAAGACGACCCTCTTGGAGACAGTGGCTATGCATCACAATCTTGTGTAGATACCTCTGACAAAAGTCAGCCTAGCAAGAAAGCTCTCAAGGAGTTATGTCAAGAAATTGATGAGGAGCTGAAAGAGGCAGCTGGGTCTCTGCTCCACCTGGCTGGAATCAGCACATGCTTGGGTTCCCTAATAAGTACTGCAAAGACCCAAAGTCAAAAGCAGAGGAAAAAATAGTAATGCTTGTTAGTGTGAATATATACATATATTTTTTTTTAAGTGTGGCAATACTCTTCTACTTTTACCCTTCACAAGGAAGATCAAAGCCATAAGAGGACTTGTTTTTTATTTTTTGATGCTAATTATAGTTTGGCCTTTTATTTTCAAATCATTGCTTAGAAAATGTTTTATTTAATCTTTTCAGATTAGGAGAGATGCATGACATGTGAAAATCTAACTATACTTTTTGATGACCAGTGATTGAATATTTGACCATTTACAGGGGGATGCATAGGTTCAGATGCATGTGTGAAATTTACCCCTAAGCAGGCCTACTCCACATAGTGAATTTCACCCTATGTGAGGGGACACAATTTCCCCATCTCCCTCCCCAAGACACAAATAACTTTCACTGGTATAGCAAACAGTAAGAAGCTGCCACTGTACATGTGCCACGTACCATTTCCCCCAACTATTGAATACACATTAGCTGTTAGCTAAAGGTTTTTGCTATTTTTGTTTTGTTTTTCATGTGTAAAAAATACTTGTTAAAAACACAAAGTTCATGCTGTCTGAGTCCACAAATGAAGTGGAGATTCTAGATGGCTAAATGTAAATGACTGCTGGAAAGAACTTTGGGTCATGTTTAAGAAAAGCATAATATAATAGTTTCCTTTAAGATTAGGAAAACTGAGTTAATTACATTAATTTCTAAATACACTTTGTGCGTTTTAATATCGGCTACCGTAACTTTGGTCTAAGTCTACTGATTACTGTGCTGCTGCTTCATGCTATATGTACCATTTTAGCTTCCTTTGAACTACAGTGTATGTCCAATAGCATGGCATTCTTAGGGCATACACTGTGACTCATGGTAGTCTCTTCATATTTGGGGGTGAAGCTCCTTAAAATTCATCACCTTTGCAATAATAATCTTTATAACCCAAACATCTTGCGGACAAGAATGTTATAGTAATCGAGTGTAATGGATTTTTTTAAAAAGCTCAATTTGACTGCTTAACTCTTAATGTAGATGGTGGCAATTTTTTTAATATTTTGTGAAAAATGGGTACACAGACATGTTAGAATAAGTTTAACAGTACTGTAAGTATAAGAATGCCTTAAGTATGTTTCAGCATAATATAAAACTTAAAGAGGTCATTTTGCCTGTGTTTGAGAGGCAGTGTGATGTGCCATGAATCTGTTTAGCTCATATGTTAAGCTGCTGCTTTCAATAAGTGTTGGGCAAGATGGCTTAGAATTAGAATCAAATACTGTATACCCATATATGAAACCGTGTCCAGTGTTTGGTTGTTCAGAACAATGCTGGATTCAACAAAAAGAAATGAAGCTAAACTGTTACTAATGGGATAATGTTTTTCTGGCCACTTGGATACAAAGCTCTTAGAGTTCGGTGTTTTCTTATTTGTCAGTTTCTCCATGTATCCTGCCCATATAATTATCCCTTCCAGTTTAAGTATTCATACAGCCATGCTGCTGAAGGCCTACTGTTCTAAGGTTCTGCTCCAGTGCTTGTTGAAGATAATGGAGATACTCCCATTGACTTAATGGGCTTTGGTTCAGGCCCCAAGATATTCAAGCATCTACATAGCGTTTCTTTGCTATTTAAATCCAGTGGCTTTAAGAGGGCTTCATTTTTAGTTTTAAGCATAAAAGTAAAAAGGAAAAAAAGAAATCTGTCTCTCTGGCACTGTGACTGTGCACACACACACACACACACACACACACACCCGTCCACCTATACTGAGGAAAAAATGGTATACAAATGTGCTCCATTTTGCATCATATTTGCATCTTTCTTAGATGTCTCGAGCAGTGAATTAGCTGACCATATCTGTTATTGAACAGATAATGGGTGAAATTAATTCTCTCACAATTGAAAAACAAACAAATGAAAAAAAAACCATTAATTTTAATTACAAACATGGGATTTCTTAACACTGAGATGTACATGTTGATGCTTGACATTTCTTTCACTAGTCTTTGCCAATATACTCTTTAATAGTGATACAAAACATGTTCAGTATAGCAATGTAAAAGTAATTTATTATTATAGCAATATAAAAATAATGATTCAACTATGGAGAAGCGTCATTAATATCACTTTGAAATTCATTTAAGTTTTGTATATCTCAATTTTTTTTAAATTCAGCACTATGGAATAAGTGTTGTATTAAGCTCCAGATAAAGTCAATCACAGCCTTTCTGTTAACCTTAAAGGAAGGAAGGTGGATCACTCCCTAAATTTTCCAGTATTTGAATTTGTATTCATACTCATTTTCTTGCAGTTTGCCTTGGCAAGAATGTTAACCTGTTCAAATCTTATCCTTCATTTCCCAACAGAATCAATGTTTTCAAAATAAAGATTCCATACTAAATGGGGCCTGATTGTACCACTTTTACACTGGAATCAGTTGTGCTACTCAGTATGAGTGAGGGTGTCAGAATTGGGAGATAGATTTATAATGCATTTTAGTCTCCATATACAAAGACAGAGCACTAAAATCATTCTGTAATTAACAAAGTTAAGGGTGCAATTTGCACCTTTCATATAAAACCTAAATGAATGAACTGAGAGAGATGGGGGATTGGAATCCTCCTTTCTGAGCAAGCGGTAGTAGGGCACAGGACACTTGTACAACTGCTTTGCACCCATTGCTACAGTCAGTGCTGCACTCCCCACCAAGTGTAAAGGCAGATGGCTCTTTACTTTACTCACCCACTGACCGCATTCCTGCATGTCCCTGTATTAATCTCAGTGCTCTGTTCCAGCAGACAGAAGGGCTGTGGTGTCCTCCAGCAATCTCTTGCTTCTCAGATCTCAACACCTCCCACTGCAGAGGATGTGAATGTCATCCTATTCTGTTGTGGATTACCCTTCTTTTATATTCACCTGAGAGAGTTTCATATCCTTTCATTTACACACCTTGGTCTGAGTTAGACCATGGTGTATATAGTATAAATTGAAGGGTGTTCTAGCTGCTTTTTCAGTGACATTATATAAAGAGTTCATACCAAATGGTATATTTTAGCAGCTGTTAAAAGGGTAGGGAAAGTGTTAATGTCACTTGCAATTCTTAATTAAAATGAAGAAGTGTGAGACCTGTTTACCAGGGAGGCTATCCTATTAAATGCTGATGTGAATACTATAAAAAGCTGAATCAGTCTTTCAAATTCCAGTACTAAATTATTGCTTCTGTGAAAATCACAGCAAATGTTTTAAAATCCAACTTTAAAAATGGAAGTTGCAAGTCATTCAACTTCTTTGTTAGGCTAAAAAGTGAAAGCTTTGGTTAAAGCAAAGCATTCATACATGTTAATAATGGTGTAGTCAAAATATTTATTGAAAGAAAAAGTAGAGTATTTTAAATGTTGCACCTGCCATTATTTTAAAGCACATTCTTCACATCTGCCAGTGCCATTATCAAGACTGTTTTATAAATGTACATTTCTTCAAACTAAGTGCATAATTTAAAGTATTATGTTGCCATCATATAGTGATATAAGACATTTTATAATTGCCAATTCATTGTAACTATTATTTATTTAAAAGTGAAATTGTAAGAATGCTTTCTGATCAAAGCAACTGGAGTTGTTTTTAAAATACTCCCTTTAGCTTGTTTTCTAATGTAGCATAAGAAATGTCTTGGGTTTATTTAGAATAATTCTGCCAGTAGATGACCAATCCTAACCCACCCCCACAGCCCTAGTTCAGTCCTTTACCCATTTTAAAGACAATTTACAGAAGTTTAGTTTTTTGTATTCTAACCTCTGTTAATTAAAATGTTTATAAAGTTTATTTTTACCAAAGAGATGCAATTCAATATAAAACATTGCAGAATAAACTTTGTTTTATAACATTTATGACTGTTCATTTTCTGCACATTTTTCATGCATGTGATTGAAGGGGCTTATATACAAATAAACAGCATTAAGAATGGGAAGCAGCCCAGTATTATCTATTTTTCCACAGAGATACAGGGCCTGTTCTCATGAGGGGCTGAGTGCCCTTGACTCCCATTCAAGTCACTGCCTCACAGGATTGGCCCATTTAAAAAAAATCTTTGTAATTCAGTCTAGGTCTCTGTTTAATTATGAAAGTCACTCTCATAAGTTGTACCACAAGTGAACTCTGTCAAAACATCCACTGTCTGTCTAACTCTTCCTTGATAATTGGACCACTTCTGAACTATAGATGAAAATGACATGACGCTAACATCTTGAGCCCCACCCCCTCTATTTTTTCTAAGTTCATAAAATGGAAGAATCCACTCCTGGGGAGAAATCCTGGCCCAGTTGAAGATGATGAGAATATTGCTATTTGACTTTCAGACCAGAATTTCACCCCTAAATTCTGGAATTTAAGACTATTTTGAGGTCACTGGTCACTGCAATTTCTGAGTATCACTTCATCCCTTTCCCTTCTCTACTGCTATGCCTTGTTCATGAGGTGTATGTTTTGCTTTTATACACAAGGTATTTGTTTCAAATATTTACTTAATTTTAAAAATATTTGCAGATAGTAGCAATCAGATGATCCACACAATTATGAAATAATGGAATATCCCCAGTTGGCTAAACTAGTTACCCACAGAGCTGCCATTGAGTGCTTGGAAGATACATTATTGCTTAATAAAACAATGCAGTTTCTCCAAGGGTCATTGAATTATATCCCCCTCTGGGTTTGTGATTTTTGTTTTGTTTTGTACTTTTCCAGTTTTATCTAATTTTTCTTTCAATATGATGATGTTCAAACTCTGGCATGCCCTACTTTTCATGGGGCCTTGTGCAAAGCAATATGTAGTAGCTCACTCCTTTTTCTCCTTCCTGCTGCCCCAAACCACATACTCCTTTGGGCTCTGACTCCTTACTAAAATTAAACATGGACTCTTATTCTGCCTGACAGCAGGGGTGTGTTTTGTAAATAGGGTGGGGTGCAGGGTGGGGTCCAAAGAGTTGCCTGCACCCATAACCAAGCTTCTCAAATATGCATTCAACCCTGTTGATCCATGCCCTGTTCCCTCTCCCTAATTGAATGTCTTACTGCATGTTCCATCTTTATCCTAAGACAGTGCTTCATACCACAAGATGAACTCAAAGTTGCTAATATATTAACGTAACTTACTCTATTTTAATATTTCCCCTTTAATCTACAAGAGACTAGCTTGCTTTTTTATTAGAATTGTTTTATTTTTGAACTATGCTAATAAATGTGAAATTTATATTAAGCAAATCAACTAGAAACTTGGGTTACATCATGTAAAGAAATTGGTCTTAGAAACTATAGTAGGATGGGATCTTAGCTTAAGAGTGAACTGCTTCAGCACCATCATGGAAGTCTTGAATCTAAGGGCATGTCTACACTTAACTCCAGAGCGATCAATCCAGCGGGGGTCGACCGCCAAGCGCTCTCCCGTCGACTTCAGTACACCACTGGAGCAAGAAGCATAAGGGGAGTTGACGGGAAGCATCAGCAGTTGACCTACCGCAATGAAGACACCGTGGTAAGTAGCTCTAAGTACGTCTACTTCAGCTATGCTATTTTCGTAGCTGAAGTTGCGTAACTCAGACCAACTTAGCTCGCCCCCCCAGTGTGGACCAGGCCTCAATGTTATAATTAAAAGCCTAATGAGATACTCTGAGTTATGAGGGTCTGGTCCCATCATGGATTCCATCGACATCCTAAACCTCAGGAGAGCCAGAACTTAATGATGGATTTTTTTTCCTGTTGCAGACAGTGGTTTATCTGTTTTCTATTTTTCCCCGTGTATGTAATTTATTAAATCTCACAAATGAAATTAAAGCTCTACTGTCTTAGAAATGTTTTATTCTGATATTTTAAAGGTGTGATATGCAATAAATGTGAGTCTTGATTTAATCTAGTAAACCAAGAGAGATATTCAGACTCTAAATCACAAATTACACACTATCCCAATGCCAATAATGCTTGTTGAGCTGTAGTGTTAGTTGTTATCTGACAGCTGACAAGAGTACTCCTTATATGTCTAAGTAGCTTAGGTGGAAACAACAATTATATATGAAGTTTTAGTGGTGTGTGTCTAATTGTCATTCAGTGGTATTGTAGAAAAGAACCTTAACTTCACTCTTAAATTTTCTGTGGTCTTTTTCCTTGGGTTTTGCTGTGGATTATGTTCAAGTCTAAATAGTCATAACTTTTTAACCATTATACAAGGTGTGATTTTGAATATTTATCATGAAAAGGGAACACTTAGATGATTTATTAGTTTCTTAACACAATGGATCCAAACCTGGGAATCTAGTACTTTGAGTAGTGTTCCTAGGGTGCTCCAATGTAGGTTTTTCTGCACAGAGATTTTAGGTAGCAGTATCTGTTTGGCCCACATGTGCTCTCCCTCCTTTGTGGTCTGCCTTGAGGCTATCTAGCACTGCATGGGCATACTGTCCCCAGTTCCTTCTCGACCACCTTTGGTCTTGAATGGTGTGAGCAGTTGTCCCTTATCTGCATCATTAGTAAAAGTAGTAGTTATTTGCAGTCTTTTAGTTTAATAATTAGAATTTTCGTTTCCCCTATTGGGAATAAAAATAAAGTAAAAATAACTTTTCGTATATGTTTCCTCCCCTTTCAGGGAGGGGGGAGAATCACCCCCACAGGGATGCTAGCTAGTCTAGACTTTCTGTTTTCTCCATTTAAAAAAAAAAGAAAAAGAAAAAGAGAGACAAAAAAGAAGAGCGGACTTTTATTTTGCATTGCTCGCTTTTGGAGGTTGATAGCCTCACCAGGGGCATGCCTAGCTCCCCCAGTTTCATGAGGTGCCTCTCCTGCAAGAAAGCAATTCCGGTAGCAGACATGTACTCTCGCTGTGTCCGATGCCTGGGAGAGAGACACATCCCACAAGAGTGCACCCTCTGCCAGCAGCTGAAGACAAAGAACAGGAGCTGAAGTTAAAACTCCTTCTGATGGAGAGTGCATTTCAGCCACAGCTGACAATGGTACTGAACTTTCTCCAGGATGCACATCATCCCCAGATCCTTCCATTTCTAAGGGCGCAGAATCACGAAAAAAATCTGCAGATTCCCCATAAAGGCTCAAGAAAAAGGTCCCCAAACCACCAGAGTCTTTGGCCAGTCAGAGGGTTCCCCGGCGCACTCAGCCACCTCGATAGCAATGGCACCGGTGGCTCCGAAGTGCAGTACCCAGAAGCATCGGGATCCGTCCACTATAAGCTCTGCCACAACGCCTAAAGACACCAGGGACTCAGGCTCCAAGGCAGCGGTGCCACCTCCTAGAGAAAAGGATAAAGACTGCACCGCCTCGGAAAGACCAGCACTGGTGAAATCATCAGTACCGGAGCGTTCATCATATAAGCAACTGGCAGTCCCACTGAACACTGACACTCCTCCACGGTACTGAGTGAGTCCGATGGTGCTGCAAGAGTTCTGGGACCTGGTGATCGAAATCCCAGTTACTCGGTACCAGGGCCCCAGTACGAAGCAGATCCCTAAGCCCGGAATCACCCATGGCACCGGGTTATTTACTACAAACACCTTGGTCAGCTCTACCTTTACATATTGATATGTCTGACAGTGACCAGGAGGATATTTCCCTGGTTTCTCACCGTGGCCTGCCATCACAGTACCAGGGACCCCCACAGCTCCACCCTCATGCCAACCCTCAATCTAGGAACAGGCCTGCTTGGGTACCCTCACCGCCCATGCCCTTCCCTCCCCAGTGGCCATATTGGGATCCTGGGTGATGTACAGATCACACATTTTATGGGCATCCAGTGTCTCTCAGAGTCAACCAGACATTCTCCTACAGCTTCACTGTCTAGAGCCCCTGAACCGGAAGAGGAGGAAACTTTTGAAGGAGAGAAAGAAAGGCTCAAAAGGGAGGCTACCCTCCACCAAACTTCTTCTCATTGTCACCAGAGGAGGATTTAATACCTCCCCCACCCCATTATTAGCTGATGATTTTTAAAACTTTCAAGATCTTACTAAGAGGGTGGTGGATGAGCTGCAAATTCCCCTACAAGAGGTAACAGACACACATCACAAGCTGGTGATATTCTCCAAATTGCCTCCTCATCCAAAATCGCCCTCCCAATAACAAGTTGCTTCTAGTTCCTGCCAAAATCATCTGGCAGACACCAGCCTCCATCACACCAACCTGCAAGAGAGCCAACAAAAATACTACATCCCTCCCAATGAGGCAGAACTGTTGTTTCAACACAGTCAACCCAACTCAATCGTAGTAGATGCAGTTAATGCATGTGGCAAGCAACTCCATGCCAAGTTGATGCCGTCTGACGGAGATTGGAGAAGGCTAGATCTCTTTGGAAGGGAGGCATCTTCGTCAGCAACATTGCAATTCAGGGTCACAAATTACTAAGCCAAATATGATTTTATTAATTATGGGAAACTCCGTGCTTTCACTGAACATTTACCAGAGGCGCAAAAAGAGCAGTTTCAGTCTACTGTCAGGGCCAGTTAGTGGCCAGAACTGCACTACTGATGGCATTGGATGCAGCAGATACAGTGACCCGCTCTGTCTCCATGGCAGTGGTAATGAGGCGGGCTTCCTGGCTACACTTTTCCAAGTTACCTAAAGAGGTACAGACAATGGTTGAGGTTCTCACATTGGAAGGGCCCAAGCTCTTTGCTGATAAGACCGATGCCTCTCTCCACACCCTGAAGGATTCCTGGGCCACATTAGCTCCCTGTGGGAGAAAAAAGAAAATATGGCTCTCAACCACAGCACAGGTCACGACCTCCTCAGTACACACTGTCACAGTGCTACTATAAGCTGCAGCATAAGAGGTCTAGGGTACAAAAGTGGAAGCAGTCAGCATCCCAATTTGTGATCTGTCCTAAGCACATGC